GAGATATATAATTCTAATGGGAGAGAGAGAGAGTGAAAGAAAGAATTTTATGTCTTTGGTGGCTTAATTTGCTTTATATAATAGTAATACTATGTACGTGAAAATATGAATTGTGTTTATGTAAATATTTTTTATTTGCGAACATTCGGGTTTATAATTAATGTTGAAGGATCCGATGCAACAACTATACTTTATGTAAGAGATTGCTTTATTATAATAGTAGTAAGATTTTCGTAAAAAATGGTTAGTCTCTATACCAATCACATGTTTCTCGCCTTTTGAGAACACATTTTGCTTTAAGATCCAGATGACTCTTTTAACCACACTCAGATATTTTGTAGGAACTAATATAAAAAATGAGATTTCGTTACTACGTACACAAAGACCTCGTTAATTTTGAGGTTTCCGATTAAAAAACCAACAATTAAAATATAGACTTATGCATAAATCTCAAAATTTCTATATGTCTCATTCTTATATTTGATTGGTAAAATTCGTATTCCATAAAGAGGCATAAATAATAATTGTGTAAAGATGAAAAAAGAGCTTGAAAGCGTATTGACATAAAAACAAGAAAAGGGCCAGTTTTGTTGGTTGAAAAGAAAAAGGTCAATTAGTTTCCTTTATTCATAAGCTAAAAGAAATTATTGAATTTAGTGTCTAAAGGAAGATAAGCTGTCTCTTTCATCTTATTCAAAATTGGTTATATCATCATTTTCTAATATTTTTTACTTTCTCTCATATCCTAACTTTGATGCATGTGAACATCGATCTCACATGCCTTCTATGTTATATCACACCCACCTCTATATACACTACAACACATCAATTTATCTATAAAACTATTACCATTGAACTTGACCTATCATACATCTATAACCTTTTGTGTGTATATATCTAGATCGATTTAACTGACAAAATTAACGAATCGTTGTGTAATATACTCTATAGCCATTAAAAAACGATCCGATAGCATTACACTACTCACCTAACTGACAAAAATCTTAAATGTTTACGATACAAATTTAGATTCCATCGACATATCTCAACATTTGTCGACATTGGTAACGAAAGTCAACACTAATAATAGATATTGGATATGTTTGTTTGATTGTTTATGTTATGCTCATATGTATTTATGTATAAACTAATAACGAATCCAAGATAAAAGATCGGTGGAGATAATTGAAGTTCTTGTCCGGATTTTGTTAGATTAAGATGTATAAATATTCTCTTATTCGCATGCATGTGTTTCTTTTTCCAAAATAACAAAGTAATTGGAAACAAGACACTCTAACCTACGAGATATTTAAACAAAAACAAAAAAAAAACAAATTATAGAACAAAATACACACACCTAAGAAAGATATATAGTTTAGTTTCTTTAAAGTAGTGATGAATTTTAGTTTATTTTTTGGGGCTATAAGTAGTGACGATTTGTTCTACTTTGTAAAAGATGGTTGTTTCCTTTTTTTAAGCCTCTACTTCCAAAAGTAAGTAAATGCAAAGTTTCTTCACGTACTTAATTAGATAGAAACGTTCAATCAAATCACGAAAGAATCTTGTTAATCCTAAACGGACAAAAAATATTAAGATGATTTATAATAATTTTTAAAAATAAACTAAAATCAGAAATCACTGTAAAACTTGCAAAAAACAAATTGTTTAGACGATAAAGAGTCCCAATAAGTGCAAGCTAAAACGTATAGAACAAATGGAACTAACACATTATAAAATCACATATAAGTTCATAGCAATATATGAATAATAATTGAAAATAAATTACCATTATCAAATTTTGTAACACTTGGTTGAAACGGTTTTCTATATAATTATGTTGGTAGACTAAAACATCAGTACATTTTTTTTCATTTTCTTAAACTATTAATTAAAAAAAAAATAAGTGCCAATCGTAGTACAATTCTTGGTATGTGCTTAATTACGTACCTTTACCAACAAACAAGAAGAGAAATGTGAATGGTGGCACCAAATGCGTTTGTTAGATTTGTTGGAGATCACATTATCTATCACTATCTACCACCAAAAAGTATATCACATTTTTGAATTATTTATTTAATATTAAAAAGAAATAGAGATCTAAATTCTCGGGATTCTTTAACAATATTATCTCAATCAACAACTGAAGTTAAGCAGATAATTTAACTTCTTGTTCAGGTAAAAGTTAAAATATCAGTTAATTTATCCACTTTTACAAAAGTTAAGCACACACTCTCATGGAAACATAATTGAATTATTTCTCATGCTCAATCATTTTGCCTCCCATCTTCTATTTCCTCCTTATATCCTTGTCTTTTCTTCTTCTTTGGGTTTAGTTTCAATTTCAGTGTAATTACAATCATTGACTATTAATAATGTAGTTTTGGCCGAACATATATTTTTAAGGACAGCTAAAGATCATAACAAAATCTTGTCTTGTCCATACATGCTTTGTCCAAGAACTTATTATGTGTCTATTGCTGTATTTTTATTTAAATTAATGTCTAATTAGAATCGAAAATCATAAAGAACTTACATTCATTTGATAGCAACACATACAACACAAATGTTTTTGATATATACATATTTCTTATAAGTTCATCCATTTCAAACCCATATATTCATTCAATCTTTCAACAAAAAAAATTGAAAGCAGGAAAGAGTAAATAATTCCATTAACTTAATTGAAAGTGTGGCTTAATCACAATCAACCAAACCGAAAATAATTAAATAGATATACACAGTGCCGGCCCAATGTTATTTGATGCCTAAAGCAAACCAAAAAATCGTTGCCTCAAAAAAAAAAAATTCTCCTTAAAAAAACAGCATAATTCTTTGAAACTTAATGTTAACATGAGTTCAAATAAAGGAAAAGTCTTAAAACCAAAAACAGAAAATACAGAAGCATCATTGTTTTTAAAAAAAAAATGAAAAAAATAATAATAATTTAATATTAATCAATCTAATATAGTTGTTTAGTAAATATAAAAGAAGACAAAAAAAAAATTTAGCAAAATAGGTTTTAAAAACAAATTAAAATTTAATGTTAATCAATCAAATATAATAATATAAAAGGAAATTGAAGTTAGAAAATTCAAATAATCGGGTAAATTTAAAATAAAAATAAAAAGTAAGAAAAATATTCGGTTTTGGAAGAAAAAAAAGGCAATAGGATTCAAACCTTGGTTGAGGAGGTTAAGCAAATGTTGCTCAACCACTAGGCTACTAGACACTTACGACATTAATTTGATGCCCTTAAAAATATATACAATTTTTGTTGCCTAAAGCATTGGCTTGTTGGGCTTTAGCCGTGGGCCGGCCCTGGATATACACCATAAATTTTATTTTCGATACTCGATCTTCTTCGAGATGAAGATGCATCTTGGACGATAAAATATTTAAACTTTGAAGAGACAAAATGTTTGGTCGTGATATCATCAATCTTATGTTGCATTCATACGTGTCGAGTTTTAAGATAACCAAATCGCAACTTATGTTAAACTACGTACGTGACAATCAACTATAATGTGCTTCGTCCTCTCATTGTAAATTAGACTGCTTGCAAATGGAGAACGTACGATTGTGTAGGAAATTTCAAACCAAGATCGATTTATGCTCATTATAATGCTAAAACGATTTTGATTGATATCTCATAAAAATTGAGAATGAGAGGCAAATCTCAAGATTAGAGACATTGATGTTCATTACACACTTTATATGGGCTTTATATAGTAATCTATCTTGTTAAAGAATCCTAATTACATAAATTAATGGGTTTTTTCATGAAAAACGATATTTGGGCTTGTTGTGGACTCTTTTAGATTTTTACATAAAAGAGTTGTGCTTCCGAAGCCGGGATTAAACCAAGATTATAGGGAAAGTGTTGCAACCAAACAAGGCTTACTAGTTGCATTGGCATTTGATATGTACTTTCTCTACCTCAACATTGCTCGTGTTAATTATTACATATTTCTTAAAGTTCCGTGAGATATGAGAAACAACAAAAAAACAACACACACACAATAGCATATAAGACGCCATTTGGAATGGCAAGAATCCCAATCTATATAAGAGAAAGCTCGACGAGTCATGGTATATGTTTTGGGATAATACAATCTTTGTTGTATATCATTCTTTAGGTAGTGTAAAAATCTTTGAGCAATTTGAAGATACACGGAACAAGGTGTCAAGGTGCTTTCATGTACTGACTGACAAGGTCGTGCCTCTTTTGAAAACAATAAGGCAATAGCTTTATACCCCCATATTTCTGAGGGCCACATTTTAATATATGTTTGAATTTTTATCATTAAGAAGAGAGTTTATCAACAACAAAAAGAAAACCGATTAAAAAGAGGTATACTACTATACTGTATTTAAATAAGAGAATATCAAAACTAATGTAAAACTGAATTAACTATTCTTTACATTTTTCATAGTTAGCTAATAAAAATGTAACAAAACTTTTGTTTTTACATCATTTAGATCGACAAGATCCGACCATTACCCCAATCTCTATTACGCGGAGTACAACGACTTGTTGGAAAAAACCGCATAGGTAAATCGTTAATTAGTTAACTAAAGACACGTTTCTTGAAACATAACTATTTATTTATAGATTTATAGTAATAGTATTATTACTAATTTATTCATAAAAATAGATTTAAAGCTAAAATATGAGAATTCAGAAGAAGAAAAAATGGAAGAACAATATTTATAAAACGTATAAAAAATTGTATTTTGCTTCAGTCCCCAAATAAAAAAAGCACAACCTTATTACGATTTTGCCACCACTTTTTTTCCAATTCTGGCTCTGCATTTCGTTATCTACTAAATAAGCTTTTACTTTTTAAGGTCACCAATTTTGCAAGCAACTATCCAATGATTCATGGAAATTATTTACCTTTGCAGTCTGAACACAATAAATGAAACATAGTACTCAAATTGTGAAAGTGAAAGATATGTTAGAGTGGGGTTACAAATTTTAGTAAATGGTACTAAACAACAACTCATAAAAACTTTTATTAAAGAGACATCAATCAAATAACTATCTTTAAAAAAGAATCTTACAACTATAGTTAGTTTTTGAATTTGGGGTAAAATCACTCTTTTTCCTATAAAAATTGCAAATAAAATTTTAAAAAATAACAGATGATGATAACTGTTTTAAACCCACAAACACACCAAAACAATTGTTTTGAACTTTGAAGAGAAAAAACTATTGTCTCCTCTGATCACTACAAAACTCCATGACTGCATTAGCAGGAGCTTTAGTCTTAAGAATCATTTCCTCAAATTCATCTTCTGGGTTTGATAATGCAACTATTGCTCCTCCTGCTCCAATGGAAGCTTCATCTTCATGAATTACTACTGTTCTTATCACAATATTCAGATCAAACGTACCGTTATACGAGAAATACCCGATTGAACCAGAGTAAAGGCCTCTTGAACAGTTCTCTAGAGAATCGAGAATCTCGACAGATCTTAGTTTTGGGGCACCAGTCATTGAACCGCCAGGGAAAGCTGCTCGTACACATTCCACTGGACTAATATCTGGTTTTTTCAGTCCGCGGATCGTGCTCACCATAGTGTGTACTGTTGTGTATGATTCCACGTCCATGAGGTTAGGCACATGGACTGAGCCTGGCTCACATACACGACCGAGATCATTTCTCAGAAGGTCAACAATCATCAGATTCTCGGCTTGATTCTTCTCACTGTTATAAGACGGGGAAAAAACAATGTTAAAGTAGCATTGATGTTAACAATTCAGAAACACATTATAGCCAAGTAACATAGACTTCTACTTCTTAGAGTTAGAATTTCATAGTAAGGTTAAGGAGCAGCAGTGACCAACCATTCAGAACAAATATTCTAGAACAATCCGAGACGCTCATGATATGCAAAGGCTAAAGAATGGAAAAATGTGTTTTGACTTACCTGAGTTTCAATTGCAATTTAAGAAGTTCGTCTTCTTCAGGCGTGGAGCCACGAGCTATAGTACCCTTAATCGGCTTTGCTTCTAGCATTCCATTTCTGTCCAGCTTAAGAAACCTTTCAGGGGAAGAAGAGCATAAAGACAAATTTGCATTTGAGAAGTTGAGAAAGGCTGCATATGGTGCTGGATTCCTCTCTCTCAGGTGGAGATAAAGTCCCAAAGGATCAGCATTGCCTATTTTCCTTCTGTTCTGAGTAGTGAGACAAAGCTCATAGCTTTCCCCGTCTTTGATATACTTCATACAGCTTTGAACATCGTTTATATACTGCTCTCGGGATTTGTCAGGAACAAAACTTGTTTTGCATTGAGATGAATCTATAACTGGAAGAGTTTGATCCTCAAATTTTCTTGTGGACGAACCCATCAGGCTAATGAGCTTCACTTCAGTATCATTCAGGAAAGAGGTTTCTGCGGTTCCCTCTTCGTAAAGGGATAATACATAAACGTCATCAAGTTGATGATCAATGGCAACAACATTATCCGCAAAGAAGAAACATGCATCTGGAGCGTTGGATTTGTGACGATTAATTGGCATTCCACATTCCACTTTAATATCATACCTGCAATACAAGAAACGGTATTAAACATTCATTCCAGAAGTCTTTTAAGATTACAGTTGTGTATTAGGAACCAAATTGTACAATAGAAAGCCACTAATGGAAAAAAGCTTGTTATAGAGATTCACAATCTAGATGATTTAACACGTACCCAATACAACCTACGTATCCACCGCAAAAATCAAAAGGCAACCCTGCGAAGTCCTTCTCATCATAAGAGATAGATGAAAGCTCCTGGTAAAAATACAGTTGATATCCACTGATGAGTCTCTATTTACTTTTGTATAATCATTTTATTTCACTTTCTAAAGAAGATAAAATGTAGCAAGTGTTGGAATAAATCTGAGTAGTTCCATTACTAGAGTTAAGTCTTTCTGCATACCTTCCGGAGAAAATCAAGAAAGCCTTCTTCCAAGAATCTTTTCTCAGTAGAACTCTGAGAATCTTCAATCAGAAGATTTCCCGCATGTTTTGATGTAACCTCGCTGAGAAAAACAAGTCATAGATTCAATAATTCAGTTCCCATAATATGAGGCATTGTCTCATTGTTCAGATTATCTCAGCCATATCAATATAGTCGCATAATGACCAAAGCACATAGGTATATGGTATGAAAATGTGCAGGAGAAAGGTTTATGTCGCTCGAGTTAAAAAAGAACATAAACCTTTGTCGGATAGAGAAAGAGTAGGTCATGCGTAAAACCTTTGATCAGATAAACTAAATGTCAATTGCTTCCAGAGAGAGCCACCTTTACCGCCCATGAAAGAAAATCGTCCTCTAGCCTGGAACAATGTAATTGGAAGAAATATTCTTTAGAACAAAAAAACAGCAAGAACAGTAACAACAACTAGGGTGAGAAAATATACTACCAACCTTGTCAGTAGAAGAAGTATCCAGCCAAAACGTATCATTCCCTTTATTCTTGCCAAAGAGTTCCATGAATACATTTTTTGCTCCACCAACTTTATGTGCAAGACGTTCATGCTTCTTCCATTTCAACCTCAGCAATTTTTCATGAGGTTTTGGATATGATAAATCCGCCAGATCGAAGACGTCTACACCATTTGTCTTGGCAGCAAACAGAGACTTCTCAGTGTTCCCATAATAGCTAGAACCATTTCCTGTAAATCTAGTTCTGGAAAGTTCTTTCAGCAATTGAGTAGCACCAGGCACCTGCATGTTTGCTAAAGAATATTTATTATTGAGGAGAAGCTCCAAGACAGTTCATTACAAAATAATTCTACAGGTTACTAAAACGAAAATAGGTCTTAGACTGGAATAAGAGAAGAGAGAGGCAGAAATAACAATCTAGTACTAATGAAACCATTAAGCTTAAAGGAGCTCACCAGTGTCATTTATGTTTCTTCGACGCAGGGATGTAGATTTGCACCGACTCCAATAATCCACAGTTATGTCTTTGAAATTTTTAAATAACTGACTACCATAGGTAGTAGCAATACTCTCTGGATGAAACTGAAAGTAAAATGCATTTCAAAGACAGCAGAACAATGGATGAAACTTATTCTAAATACGATCTCAAATAAAGATCAAACCTGTAAACCATAATGGGGAAAAGAAGAATGCATGATGCCCATGAGAATGTGTCTATCTTGTTTCCCATCAACATGGGACGAAGGCCAATGGCTTCCATTTTCCAACTTTTCTGAAACAGGAATGACAGATCCATTCAGTGGGCTCCCAATGTTCTTCACAGGAACACACAACTTCTTCTCAGAGAAAGAGCCAGTGTCATCATAAATCGTCCACGCTATCGGTACAAGTTCCTTTGGTAGTGATTCCTTATCTATGATCAGCGAATGGTATCTAACAACCTACAGAAATGAAGCCCCAACACAAATTTGTACTCTGTATCTAGAGAGATCAATGAATGTTGCATATATAAAAGTAGATGACCTGCCTTGAAATCAGAGTTTCTCCCAGATGGAATATCAGAAAACAATATGTTGCCATCATGTTCAATCCCACTACAAGAAGTAGATGGAAATGATGAGTAAAATATCTAACAGACACTGAGAAATGAGAAATGGAGGAGATATGACCAAATATCAACAACTTTAGACTTGTTTCAGTTGACAAAAATTCAATTCAGGAAAAGAAGGTGACTATTATAAGGCACAAAGAGAGCATTAGAAAAAGTCCTGCATACTAATCACATTAGTCAATACCTCAACCGTCCATGGACTGGTTCCGGGGCATGCACCACATGAGCTCCATGGACATAACCCAGTGCCTGCCAAAACATCATGTTTTTTGTTAACAGAAAGAACCATAGACAGAGAGAATAACTACTAATTTTCATGACTATAGCAACTAAGACCGGAAACACTTAACAAATGAAGTGCTGCCATCTTTATGAAGGTAATATTACCTGGTGGCCAAGGCAGACGCCTAGAATTGGAATATCACGACATTCAAGCAAAAGACGAAGACATATTCCTGCAGAGCAAAAGTGAAGTTTGAGAAAAGAATGGGAAATTATGCAAAATTTCAATAAACAAGATTAACTTGATGATACCTATATCAGCTGGACACATCGGCGAACCAGGTCCAGGCGATATGACAATATTATCGAAAGCAACATCTTCATATAAGTAATGGTAAGCTTCTTCCCACGTCCACTCATCATTTCGAATAACCACAGGAGGCACTACACATGACACAAAATAGCTCGGATAAACGCAGAACACTATAGACCAACAGAAAAGAAAGATAGATGCTATGAAGTTACCTCCATTAATAGTACTCAGTGCCTGATATATATTGAATGTATAACTATCATAATTATCAATCAACAAAGTCCTAACAACACCAAGATTCTCTACAGGTTCTCTTATCGGTAAACTCTTCTTAACAATCGACGAATCTTCCAAACGTCCTGGCACAAAACGGCTTGTCGCAAGAACCTTCCTCGTACCACGACAAGGTAAACTAATGAAACCCTTCTTCCATTTTTCATCGAACTTAACCAATTCAGGAGAAAACAACCGCCTTGCAACCGAAAATCTCAGAACATTTTCACTTGGATATGAAAGCTCAGAAGAAGTTGAACAAAACGAAAAATTCATGTTCATGAATCCTGTACCAAAAGGGAGAGAGATACATAGATTTATCAAACAATCTTAAATACATCAATTTAGGATTCTCATGTCACATAAATCAACTAATCACAGATTTCAAAAGTTCCATTTCCTAAACATCACACTATCTCTAACATAGTGGATTTTCGATTTCCAAATCCAAAACTATACGATTAATATATCCAAAGCAACGAATATGGAACGAGAATCATTAGGTCTAAATTCAATCTCTCTACTTAATTTCTTCAGAACGATCTATGAAATCAAACAAACACAAACATCTGGAAGACGAAGAGCTAGTGGCAGAGAAACTTACGTTTAGAAACGAGACCAAGTGATAGAGATTCGAAAGCAACGAATCGTATGAAGAAGAAAATGGAAGAAGCTTTTGCTCTGAGAGGAATCAATGGTGAAGAGAAGGAGGAAGAGAAACAAATGGTGTTGAGAGCTTTTTATAACGAGAGGAAGAAATAGATTCATTTACCTTTTTAAAATTAAAATTGGAAATAAAAGTCTAAGCTTTTTACAAATAAATGCTTCAAATATAGAAAGGAATGTTTAGAAAAAAAAATAAACAATAAACTAATAATACTTGTAAGTTGTAACACAGTATATCAAGTAAAAATTCAATTTTACAAATCAAATTATAGAAAAAATTTATCTTTTTGGTTATATGTAATATTATAACAAACTTATTTTCCTTTAGTGCTTAATAATATATCCATTAATTTAAACTTCAAATGATTTTTTTCTATAGTTTTTTTTTATGCTAGAAAATACCATAATTATTCACTAAATTCTATGTATAACATAGAAGAGTTTTTGTGTTTGTTGGTTCATGTGTCTACAAGCTAGAACCTAATTTTCATATAATTTTTCTATTTCTAAAATTTAGAAAATAATCAAATGACATATTCAAAAATGAATAATTCAATTTTCATTAATATTATAGTATATCCACTAAATTGAAACCAATTATTATTTCCATACAGACTTTAGATTTATGCTACAAAAATTCCTATGTATTCTCTTAATTATATGTATAAAACAGAAGAGTTTTGTTCTTTCTTGGTCCATATGTCTACAAGCTAGAACCTAATCTTCATATCTATTTTTATTTCTACAATTTATAAAAGGTCAAATAATATATTAATAATAATTAATTTTTCATTAATATTATACTATCTACAACTATATATCTTACTAATTATCCTTTATTTTACTTGGTAAATTACATAAATTTCATTAAATACTATCTACAACTATATATCTTACTAATTATCCTTTATTTTACTTGGTAAATTACATAAATTTCATTAAATAATATATGGATAACACTTAGAGTTTTATTTATTGTATAAATAATATATTGAAAATTTTGATTTTACTCTATTCAGGTAAAAATTTAAACAAAAAAAAATTATTAAACTTTTCTATTATAAAAAACTGTTTCCATAAAACTACTAAATTTCATTAAGTTTCCGACTGTTAAGATGCCTTAAAATTTGTGAGCAGTGGTAGTTATTTCATTATGAAAGTAATTCGTATAGTTTATGCCTTGGGTGGTACCAACTACTTTTAGATTTTATTTTCTTGTCTTTTTTCTAGTTTTAGTGTCTTTTATTTGAAAATGTTGATTAAATTTTTTATTTAATTAATAATCCACCCCTTTAATCCTAATGAATTTTTTTTTTTTGTTCTAATCAATCAGATTGATGAGTTAAAGTAAGTTGGGTTATAGTTAAACTGAGTCTTAACCTTAGTTTATCTTTACGAAAAATGAAATCGGGCATGGGCTTTTGAGAAGTAGACCATGAAAATTTTCTCACCCATTTTATTCACTATGACTTCATTCCACGCATTCACACGAGTGACGTTCTCGAAATCATGAACCAAGGTCAGCCGTGTAAAATAGATTTGTTACATCTTCGTGTTTAGAGTTTGAGAACTTGTTATTAATCGATTACATATCTTAAAATGTTTTTGGATGAAAAAACCAATGAATCCCATGCGAAATCTCTAATGCCCAACGTTTTTATTTTATTAATATTTAATATTTTCATGTGTTTTACTTTCTCATTTAAGTTTACTTGCTTTATTAGTTTCGTCTGTTATAAAGCCCAAAAATCAACTACACATTTTTGTTCTACTTTTATTCTCTTAAGACAGATCAAGTTGTAGGGCAATAACCATTTTCTGTGAGATTAATCCTTAAAATATACAATTACTTTTGTACTTGCAACTTGCAGTGTGGTTTTTTTTTTTTTTTTAAATAAATTATATTAAAATTCAACCCAAAAAGGCTTGGGCTGGGCCTTACAGAATAAAAAAAAACGGGAACAAAAAAGGGCATAAATTTTCCGACGATCTCCAAAAAAGGACATAAACGGGTACAAAAAAAGACATAAACGGGTACAGAATAAACTTGCACTGTGGTTTCTAAGGTAACATCTTGAGGGGAATAAACCACAACATCAACTAGCGATTGCGGTTTCAAAAATTATCAAATGATTTTTCCTTACAATTTGTGAAAGATTGTAGGTAAAGTTTTTCTTTTTAATTATCTTCATTCGACAATATAAAGCAAGGACTCATCTTACTCATATAGATAAAATAAAAACAGTTTTAACATTCGATTAATGTTTCACCCGCCAAATTAAAAAAAAAAATGATTTTCGGTGACAAAGAGTCGGGGTTTTGTTCAAATTCACCATTAAAATGTTAATAAGTTGACTAAATCTTAATTATGTACCTACATTTAAAAAAAATTACATTAAAAAAAAATTATTTTAAAATAGAAAAATAATTCTAAAACAACACTTATTTTGGAACGGAGATGATACTATTCTAAGTTTGAGAATTAAATTACATTATGCTAACACTTCCAACACATATTAGCTTCCATACTGTTTATTACGAATCCAGTTTCTTTCTACTTAAATCTACATCTCCATGACAGTCAAAAGGCTAATTTACATTGTGAAAATGTAGATCAAGACTCGAGAAATGTACAATATGGACTAAAAAAAGAAAGATCCAAACTTTTGTTGCCTTAGTTGGTGGAAACAGTACAGAAACAGAGAGGCCAAGATTTGGTGGGAAGTAAGAGAGTTAAGTGAAGAGTGATTTAATTCATAAATGGGACAAGAGTTCATATATCCACCACTTCCTCTTCTTACATTTACTTCTCTATTCCATTACAGTTAGAAGTTGGAAGACACTAACTACTTCAATAGCTTGCATTGACCAATAAGCAAATGGTTTCCACAAATATCGAATCTATATCTAAGTGTCTTAAATTCGAGGTCAAAGGGTTTGGTTTTGAAGCCTAGATTCATCTTTGAATATGGAATTAATTGAGAACAATAAACAATCAAAAACAGATAGATAAAAGACTTGACTTTGTGTTTTAATTCCAGAGGCAAAACTTTTTCTTACTGTTTTATTAACATATATTACATCATCGTCTTCCCGAGTTACTGAGGTTTTAGATTCGATGTGAGATCGAGCTTTTTCTTTTTGTTCGAGACTTAAACTCGAACTCATCTCAGAAACACTTCAAGTTTTCTCTATGTTCATATATATGATTTTTGTTTATACACAAGATTTCCACATTCTTCCTTCTAAAGAGATTACTACAATGGAAACATCATCGTGGTACCGTCTCCGTTCCCCTTGCGGTATCTCAAGTAGTTCATGGAAATCCATACCTAGAAAGATCAATAAGGAAAACATAAATATTTATAATTAATGTACAATTTGAATCGAAGATTTCTCATCAGGGTTTTCGATGGATTATTACCGGCTTTCTTGGCAGCACGGAAAAGAAGCTCTTGAACCAAGTGCTGAGCCGGGTCACCTTCAGGCTGCAATGTGATAAAGAGTTCGACCTCTGAAACCGCTTCTTCATTTGTGAAATATTGGTAAAGACCATCCGAGGAGAGTATCAGAAACTGGTCTTTAGATCCTAATCTATGATGGTAAAGTGATGGCAAGCAGTTGATGTAAGGTGACGTCCCTTTGTAATCGATTTGAAACATCTCAAGAAGCGCGTTATTCCATTTAGGCTGCAAATGAATATACCCCAAAGTTAAAAAATAGAAAGCAGAGCAAATACAAACATTCTTGCCAAATTTCCATTGACCTAATGTTCATATCTAATCTCACTAAGAATGTTAAGTACCATACCTGCTTGAGGAAACCCGCGCCGAAAGCTCTAGTGACCTTCAACGAACCTTTAACCCGTTCATTCGAAACCGCACTCACATCATCCGGATGCTCCTTTCGAATTCTATCAACTTCCTGAACAACAAAAACAAGACTTCATCAGCTAAAACATCACCAATTCATCGATAAATAACCGCATTTTATCCGCATAGTTCCTTACCTCTTCTACATTAGTACTATGATCAACAGTAAGCTGAAAAGCCGATAAATTCGGAACCAAACTAGCTCCTTCACCATCACAACAACCATCAAAATCATTCATAGTTTCTTCATTGATACGTTCCAAATCTTGTCTTATCTTCCCAATCCAATACTCACTCTCAGCTTTTTGCCCAAGAACAGCTCTACTATCACCAACATTCATCAAATAAACATCTTCACCTTTCATCAACATAACAAGAACACAAGAACCCATTAAAGCTAGTTCAGGATTTTCGTCGAGCATCATATCTGCATTCTCCAAATAAGCTTCTTCCGTCTTCCTCAAGGCTTGTGACAAAGCTTTCAATACATCAGACGAATTCGGATCCGGATCTAGATCCGACCCATTACTCCGATCCTTCAGTAAACGGTCAAGATCTCGATCCCATTCACATCTCCACCGTCGTTGACTTTCTTCCCAATTCTTTGACTTTTTCTCAGAACTCGAGTTTCGATTCTCTACATCAGCTTCATCGGAAGATTTTGCATCTGTTTTAGGATCGTCCCATAATAATCCTTTAAGCTCACGATGAACGGCTGGATATAAATGAGAGAGTAAATAATCCGGAGCATCTGGACCGTTGAATCCATCGTAGATTCCAACGAATAGCCATCCATGTTCTTCCGATACAACTACATGTACACGATCCTCACCGGCTTTACCTTGTGCCCATTGAAGATTCTGGCTTTCTAACGAAACGTCGTCGTCTAATAAACTTCCTTCACTACTAAAATTCAAGCTATTAACAGTGAGGTTATTCTCGATCTGGTGGATCCGGGTTTTATCCGACCCAAATACCCAATCGGGTTCCTTAACCGATTTGATCGGAGCAACAATAGAGTTTTGTCCTCTAGTAATCGTCTTCGAAATTGCACGACGGAGAACCCGAACTAAAGATCCTTTTCTCGACCCGACCCGGAGATTAGCTAAACCATGAGAGAAACTTCGCTGAAATTGATCAGAACCGGTTTTACCATCAATCGGACCGGAAGACCCATCAAGTGGACCGGACATGAAACCTCTTTCAATCGGACCGGAAAGAAACCCTCTTTCTAAAGGACCCGAACCGGGTACAATCGGACCGGAACTTCTCGGAATCGGTTGCAAAGGAATCGACGAAAACGACGTCGTGCTTTCGAACGCGGCGGCTCTATCGATATGTCCGTAAGGATCATATAAAGAAGTAGAGAGTGGTGTGGCGGCGTTAGCACTAACAGAAGCGCCGGAGATTGTACGGAACGTCGTCGTTTCTTCTTCTGAGTGAACTTTTGAAGATGAAACTCGAGTCGGGTCGGGTCTAACGTAACAGAAAGAATGACCTAAACCTTCGTCTAAAGGATCTGGTTCGAGAATTGATAACGCGGACTTTTTGTTCCGGCGAGTTTCTCCGGTGAAACATATAGTCAGCTTCCCGATTCCGTTACCCATTTGAAAAAAAGATTGCTTTTTTTGGGGATTGAGAATTTAGATACAAGGAACGTGTTTTTAAATTAGAGATTGTTGATCCATGGTAGAGAAAATGAAGAGACAGAGGTTGAAGAAGAAGATGTGAGAGAGAGAGAGAGAGAGAGAGAGAGAGAGAGTTGACTTGTGTGCAAGAAAAATGATTTTTTTGAGTGGAAATTATAAAGGGAAGAGAATATAAAGATGAAAAAAAAATTGAGAGATATTATTATAATATTATTCTGTTATGTTATTGTGTGTTAAATATAAAAAGGGAAAAAAATTTGATGAAAATAAAATAAAAGTTTAAATTTTTTTTTTGCACAAAGCTCTCTTGACGAAGAAGAGGGTTGACTAGTGGTGAAGGCAAAGGTAGTGAAATGTGTGTCTACTGTTTACTCTCGCTACCAAGCGCGTATACGACACGTGCTTATTAGAATTACCGTTAGTAGTTTGCTTTTATTATGAGGGTAGAATTTAAAATAGTTGGGGAAGTTTCTTTTTCTTTTGTGGAATTTGAATTTGTACTGGGTCAAAAAGGTTATTAAGGTAAGATATTCAAAGTCTTTTTTTTTGGTGAATAGATATTCAAAGTCTTGAAATGTGAATAAAGTAAATAGGAATTTTTTTTTTGCATGGTTTAGCCAAAGTTTTTTTTTTTTGGTATAGTTAGCTAAAGTTTCTTTTGTATTTGTGTGTTATTTAAAAAATAAATGTAAAATGTCGTAAAAAAAATTATCAAATAAAAAATTAATTGCGTAAAAAGTATAATGTAACGTATTTTGAATAAAACAAAAGAAAATTTGTTCTTTATAGAGATATTCAAAGTCTTGAAATGTGAATGTGAAAATAATAAATGAGATTCTTTTGTCATGGTTTAACCAAAGTTTCTTTTGTATTTGTGCGTTATTTATTAAAATAACGTATAATCTGGTAGAATTTTTTTTATCAGATAAAATATTAATTGCATAAAAGTATATTGTAACGTCTTTTCGGATAAAATAATATACTAATACATAGTAACGTAACATATTATTATTCCTTTTGTTACAAATTAAATATTATTAAAACATTTTTAATCAAAATAATTATGATTTACATTTTCAATATTAAATTTTTTACATAAAGTACGTAACTTTACATTAATTCTAGATGAAAAAGAAACTACAAGTCAATTTGATATCTCTAAAATATATGTAAAAAAATATTTATGTTTATTTAAAATCGGAATGAAAACATTAACATCATTAAGAGGATAAATGAAGTCTCATTGCCTCACATTTATCTACCTGAATTCATTTTTAATCAAAATAATTAATTATAGATTATATACTTGCGCGTGGGATGAAGTTGAACTGACCATATAAAACTCAAAACTGTGGAAAAATTTACTAAAGTCTAAAGGCCAATTAAGGAAATAAAAAGATCTTATAGATTTAGACATTTTTTTTTCTTTAGAATTAAAACCTCTAAAAGTCAAAATAGCCACAGTTTCCTTCAAACAAATCCTTTAAATTTTACTTTTATTTTTAAATTACACTTCTTCGAAAGTTGTGCCTACGATCACCGTTGGATCACGTGATTGTCTAAGCGTGTGACACGTGTAAGATGATCACTGACTCTTCGGTTATTTCATAAATTCTCGTCAACTCTCATGAGTTTGCCTCTTCCTGCTTACTACCATCACTCTCTCTCTTATGTCATAAATTTGGACTTTTATTTCTTAATCCTATACTAATATTTGGGAAGTACATCCTAAGAGTCATAACTTAGATTTTGTAAAAAATTACAATATATGCCATTAGAGATCTCTAATTATAATTATTTTATTCCATTTCACTAATATATATTAACGGGTCAACGGGTCAAACGGGTTTAAAGATATTAAAAGATTTTATTTATATAATCCGAAAAAATATTTCTTCAAACGATTACACAATTAATATAATTCGAAAATGTTATATACTAATTAATTCGAAAATATTACAAAAATAGTATAAATGTTATATACTTATCTATTATTCGAAAATGTGATCGCAAATGTTATTGAAAATGTTATATAGTAATCCATTATTCGAACATGTTATCAAAAATGTTATTGAAAATGTTAATGAAAATGATATATCATTGAAAACATTTTATATCAATCGAATTCATAAAATATTTTGAATTATAATACTCATATAGTTCGAAAATGATATTGAAAATGTTAGAAACTAATCCATTATTCAAAAATGTTATATCATTGAAAAAATATTATATTATTCGAATTTATCAAGAAACTATTATTTTCACGTCTATAGTTAGCCAAAAGGTATTATTCGAATTATAATTAAACAAAAGTTATTATTCAATTTGGTGTATTACTACAATTCGTAATCTTTGAGAATATTTTCAGTTTCTTTAAAATCTTTTACCATCAATTATTGATTTCGTTTGTTATATTCTGTTTCTTATAATTTAAAAACGCAAAATCAAATCCCCTGTATTAAGCAACTACAACAAACACCAGTAAAAAAGTCAACAAAATATTTGAATTTTCCTAAAATATATTTATCATTAACTATAAAATCTAAAATCTTTTAAAAATTGTTAACCACGTAAATATTTTTTAGTTAAGGAAACAAAAATTTATTTTTGAACATAATTTTGATTTAAAAAAATATAAATCGTAATGTATCTTGCAACTTAGGATTCCGTATATTATGGGAATCAAAGATTTTTCTTTTTCAATCATAAATTGGGTTATATATAAGGATAGTTTTTAAAATTTAATAATAAAATCACCATATTTGTTAAGATCTTAGTAGTTAAATATATTTAGATTAGTCGGCTAAACCTAAATTAGGTACAAACTATCTCTCTATAAATAAAGGTATTTCAAGCTAACTCGGTTTGATTTAAGGTTTTGTTGTCAAAATAAAGTTAATAATATTGTTTTGCTTTTGTCACTGCAGATAAAAACTCCACTTATCTACACTTATGGCATCGATGTGACGCGTAAAACATCTAAAAGGGAGATTGTGGTGATTCATGAAGACGCCTGTTTCTGTTGATGGCTAAAACAACGATTGGAAACTGTTTAATGATCCGTTTAAAGGTAAAACCAAAGACATGTGTTTTTTATGAGAGAATTTGATACCAAAAATCTGTGAAACATAATTGTGAAAGATTCAGTGCGTTTATTTTACAGTGCAACAAATGCAACATGGTCTATGTGTGATGTATTGGTATACACGTACGTAATAGTATTGTTCTAATCCTCTTAATTGAATATTTTATTTTTCATATGTAAAGATCTGGTCCTCAACCCGATGTAAAAGCACATGAAAAGAGCTTGACGAGAGAAAAAAGCTTTAATTCGAAATGGTATATTATTGTTTATTTACCAATTTTTCTACATAATTGTAGGAACCATACCTATTAAGAAAAAAATTTCTATATCTAAATACACATTTTAATGATGAGAGATATTTTCTTTATACTTAAATCGTTTATAGATTTATTTTTTTTGTATAAATATTGCTTCTATTGACAAGTCAATTTTTCTAATTTATTTATTTAGATGAATTTGAATACCTTTTATTTTGTTTATTTTCACATGTCTTGACTTGATGGTTTGTTTCAGATCTTCATCCAAAGAATCTCATCCAAAGAGTATGATTCAATGAGCCTGTGTATTGGGAATCTGGAAGCAAAAAAGAAATTCAAGGTGAAACAATTTAGAAGGTTTGTGTGTTTCAAATATTTATGATTTACATGAAAACGTTACTTTTATTGAGAAATATATGAGTATTATATATAAAGAACATGTGGATCATTTTAACTAATTTTGTAAAACTTAAATATCCAAACAAAAAATACAAGAAATACACGTATCTCATACGAATCCTAGACCTATTCTCTTACCCGTTGAACTGAAATATAAAATTGCAAACGTGTAAATTATTTAAAAAGAAACGGTTATAAGATGGAATAATTTCTGACAGATTTGGGTTGAGAAGGGTTTTCCGTCCCGAAATTTCCTACTTTTTCTCATTTTTTTTTATATAATTGCCTTTACTGATAACAAAAACAATTCCAATACTCCTTCTCTCTAAATCGAATCGAAACCGGTATGTATGCAGGTTATAAGTGCTACATCAAATTAAATCTTAACAAACATATCTTCGCACGAACGGGCGATAATTACTGTAATATGAAGGTATCATAAATTTAGGGTAGCTGAATTCAATTCTTAAACTCTCACTAATTTAGATATCTATCAATTTTGGTACGGGTAAAGGTATATTTCAAGATAAAAGTTCTGAGAAATTATTTTTAAGACATAAGTGAGAAATATTAAAAAAAAGGATAATTTCCACTAATTTTGTAAAATTAAATACTCAAATGGAAAATACAAAAAATATAATACATGTATCCCATCCGAATCCTAGACCTATTCCCTTACCCGCTGGACTAAAATTTGAGGACCAAAATGCATGTGTTAAAATAAATTCTGTAACCGCATAAGATTTTCATATTCCAAAATAGAAGTATTTGTTTAACAAAAAAAGAATTCATAAACATATACAATATATATTTCCAAAAAGTATAAAATTACAAACTTAGGCTTTAACTTTTACTATAAGATATATTTATAAAATAAAAGAAAAATTATAAAACACTAATAAATTGGATATTTACGGGTCACGTAGTAAAGCGAGAAATATACCGGGTAACGTGACAAGTATTAAAAAGACATATATCTTATACTTGACTTTTACCTACGGGTAACATAATTACACCATTTACATGACCCTAATGTCACATATACCCTCTTTTCGAGACGGATACGAGTCAGGTACCTATCAACCGGTTAGTTTATCTCATCGGTTCACAGATCTTTAATCATTCACAAGTTTACTAAAAATCTTATAGATCACTAATCCGCTTCACGGTTATTTCCAGTCCATCTGCTTCAAAGTACTGGTCAAAATTTTGTTATTTTAAACATTTAACTATTTTA